TTCCTCCCGTCACACATCATTCAGCTCTTTCAGAGACCGAACTGCAGGCAGAGAAAAAATCCTTTGACTCGCCGTCTGCCTTAATCGGCTCGTTCAGGAGCAGGACTGCTGATCTGAGGATTTGTTTTCGCTGCTCAGGAAAGCTTCTGTTAAATAGGATTTTCTGCCCAGGTTTCCTCGTGTGGGGCGGCCTGTTCGGACCAAAGCTCGCCAATTAAACTATGTAACAGTTTTTTCTATTAAATGTCACCTTTTATTGATCAAGCATTGAGGAATACATCGACTGAATGTCTTATAGTAGAAGATACAGTCTCTCTCTAACTAATTATACAAAATAATGAATTCTGAATATGGTTTTAAAGAATGATAGCAGTCGTAAATTGAGTCATCTTAAGGCTTTGAAATATACAAATTTGTCCTTTAAAAACAGTTTAAGACATCTGGTTTGGTTTTCCATGTGTAATTTTGTGGTAAAAGGGTGCAGCGTTCGACAGAAAATGTATTGGCAACTGTTCTGATGAACAGTGATTAATCGTTTAAAAGTCATTTTTTAAAGCAAAAATTATCTGGTCCTAGAAATGTAAATATTTGTAGGCTTTTTTTGTGTTTTATGACATTAAACTAAATATCTCCTTTTAATTGTTGTAATTTGAGCATGTCAACTCTGTTGTGCATTTATTATGGACCAAATGATAAACTTTTGAACTGATAATAAAAATAAGTCCAAGTATAGCCCTACTTAACATGCAGACACTGATATGATTACTAAATCTTTCTGAGCAATTTTCATTATTGATGCAAACAGAATTTAAAATCAAATCAAATCAAAAAAAACTTTCATGCTCTCATCTTCTCAGGCTACGAGCTGGTCGGTCAGGCGCCAGTCGGCAGAGCAGCTCTGAGACGGAAACACTGCCTCGGCACGGCGAGCCTCGGCCATGGAGCAGCACCGACAGCTCGGACAGCTCCAACCGGCTCGCCCCGCGGCCCGCCATCACCAAGGCCAGCAGCTTCAGCGGCATTTCCCCGGGCCTCGTCCGAGGGGACAGCACGGCCAGCAGCAAGAGCACCGGGAGACTCTCCAAAACAGGCAAGAGACACAGCGGGATGGGATGCCTCAGAATATCCTCCGTTTGTTTGTTTTAAATAAAATAAGCTTGGTGAGGCAGCCAGAAATAGAGCAAACTCCCTCGACTGGCAATTTAAAAGTGTAGCAGGCAATATTCTGCCATCTACAATTTGTGTTTTTCCGTCATGTTTTATCAGGTTCAGCTGCTTCTCTGATTGACGCCTCTTGTTCTAAAATGAGGCTGGTTACGTTGTACAGGTTCATTCTGAATGTGGAGGGATGTCTCTCCTCCAAAACTTCTCTCCCTTGGAAGTGAGCATGTCTTTATTCATTCAGTCACTCAGACATGGGAGAGGACCTTCAGTCGCAGCATGAAGAGGAAACATTTGCTAATTAGTTAGTACATTTGGTAAATGTGGAACAAAAATAGGCATTTTGCATACTGAGCTCCGAGCAAAATCCTCCGGCATTCGAGGCTCCTGGGTTCTTATCTGAACAAGTGTTTGTTGTCCTGCCGCGGTCAATAAAGTCTGCGGGCCGCCCTGTAGCCGGACAGCTGTCAAAACCAATTACCATACAGCAACATGGTGATGGAGGAGGCTCTTAAAAAGTGTTGTAGCAGCAGTAGTATGAAACCTAGCAGCGAGGAGTTACTGCATAATGTATAAGTCTAAGCGGCGAGATGAAGTCAGAGCTGCTCCCCAACTGCAGGTGCTTACTCCACAATATCTTACATTTGTAACTTGACTGGCTGAGATTAGATCAAACGTGTTCTTCACCGCGGGTTTGTCTTCTTTATCTCAGTGAATGCAGGGTGGAAATCCTTGGTTGGCCTCTGCTCTCCATTTTGTTCCCTGTCACAGTTTCTGTCTGGCATTTTTTCTATTTTTGCCGATCTCCTGGTTCTGTTCTCACAGAGAGGCAGCAGCGGCAGCAGGCTTCCTGCCTGAGCAGTTTTTTAAGTTGTTTACGAGGCGGCTGGCTGCCCTCACTTTGTGTTTTGGGAGTATAAGTCAAGGAGACATCTTGCCTGTGCTGCCGTGTTTTTCTGCATTTGCCCTTCTCCTGAGCCCTAAAATAACCTTTCCTTGCAACAGGCAGCACACCATCGCTGCCTGAAAGTAGGAGCTCATCCATGATAGAGGCAAAAAAAAACTCTATGCCTGTTTATGCCTTTTATGATATCATATCGATGTAATCTTTCATAAATGCCACTTCATTGATTTCCCTCATTCATCCAATGGTGGAGTGTAACAACCTTAGTAAAGTTTTGAGTTTTAGAGTTCCTGCTATTATAAACTCTATTGTACCTTCCCTCCACTACATTTATTTGACAGCATTAGTCCTTGCAGATTAAGATTGCAACAATTAGGCGGCTAATTGATTAGTCGATTAAAGAAATAATAATCGGCAACTGTTTTGATAAACGATTAATTGTGTAAAAATGGCAGAAAATGCTCTCGAGATATGTAGATTTCGTGCTTTTCTCTGTTTTATATCATATTTAAATTGAATATCTTTTGGATATTCTTGGATTTACCCTTTTTTGCTATTTTATAGAGGATTAATCTAGAAAATGACCAGCAGATTAGTCGATAATGACAATAAACGGCCCTACGAGTTAACACTTAATTAACATCATAGCGAGTACAGTTACTTTTAGTGCTTTAAATACAGTTTGCTGATAATACTAATAAGGTTTTGAATGCAGGACTTTTGCTTGTAAAGGAGTATTTATATATTAGGATGTTGCTACTCTTACTCAAGTAGAGCATCTGAATACTACCGGAATTCAACGAGGAAATTCAAAGGAAAGAACATTTTAAAACCCTAAACACCAGATTGCGATGCCAGTCCCTCCTCCCAAAAACCCAGAGCTTCATTGCACATTCAGTAATTATACAGGGAGACATCCATTACAGAGAGTGCACAGATACCAATTTCTCCATCAACTGTTGCCTCAATAGACAATACAATGCAGCCACAAGAGAGGTTGCATTATTAGCGAGAGACACGACTGCTTCATTATCACCATCAGCTCTTTCCACCCACTAACGAGCTGAAAGCAACACGTTAGGTCTCCTCCTCTTCGGTGCGGTCTTAGAGTCATTCTGGGAAATGTAGGAAGTGGATAATAATCTCTTTCTTCTGCCTTTTCCCCCCAGGTTCAGAATCATGCAGTAGCGTCGGCTCCTCGTCCAGCTCGCTTTCCCGTCCCCAGCTGCCTCTCCCAGTTTCAGCCTCGTCCTGGTCCAACATCCCCAGCGCCCCTTTAATCCACCCAGCCGCTGACACCAGAGGCTCTGGACACCCTGAGATGATCAAGAGCCTCCCTTCACAGCCACCATCTGCTACAGACGCAACAAACTATTATGTGTTGCCGCTGGAAGCCTCAGGGATACCGCCCGGCAGCGTTCTGGTCAACCCACACACAGGTGGGTGATACGGCGCCTCCATGTGAACATAAAAAGACGTAATTCTATTTAAAGACTCCATTTCACGAAATCAAAAATCACACGAAGGCACAGGGTTTTCTTCCTCAAGGGTAGTGACCCAATCTACTGCATTAAATCAAAGACATGCATTTTCCTGTCTTGTAATTTTCTGGTTTACTAATGAATATTCATGACTTGGGGGCAGAATCACAGGTTGGCACAGGGCTGCACTCGGTTTGTCTGTCAAATTAGTAGTCAGACCAAAGCATGCTGATCAAAATGCATTGAACAGATGGGAGAAATCTGTAAATATTCATCATGGGCCGAACACACAGTTGTACACTTTTGGGCTGCAAGCTGAACTTCAAATGCTGCCAAGGTTGTTAATTCCTGTTGACTCTCCTCTCATGAAGCGTGTTTGGGTGTGTCCCTTGCCTGTCACGAGGAGCATAATTCAAGTGTTTCCTTATTGGTGTGATGCTGGATTATGAGTTTGTTTGCAGCTCACGTTACTATGGTTTCTGATCTCTTATGAATTTAATTTGACAGGCAAGCCTTTCATCCACCCCGACGGCAGCGCTGTAGTTTATAACCCGGCCGCTGTCGCCCCCGCTGCTGGCAGGAACCCACAGCAGGGGAAAAGCCCACAGCAGCCAATCCCTGCCCCAACACAGCAACAGCCAACCAATCACCTCCACTCCCAGGTCAGTGGGCGGGACTACATCAGGAATCTTGATTTTTTTTTTTTTTTCCTGACTCTTATTGAATTCTTGTAAAGACTACAGTTTTTTTTTTTTCAAACTTTCTCTAATCTTACTAACTTATAGTGCTGAAATAGGAGCTGAACGTATCATGGTAGGAGCTTAATTGACCGTTCAATTAACCCCTCCCCTGAACATCGATTGTCCAATCATAGCTTAGGAACCGTAACTAGGCACGGTAGGCCTACAGTAGTAACCTAGTTTTACTTACAAGGCCAAGGAGCATTTCATACTACAATATTTTTTGGGATTACAGACAACAGTAAGCAACGGTAACTAAGTGGGGCGGGGCTTAGCAAACGGTCAGTTGAGGCTCCCTCCATTTTACTAGCATCCTTCGTCTCATCTCCTGTCCCTCTGTCCATTTCTTTTTCCTTTCCCTCCTCAGCCGTTCTCCCCTCTCCAGCTGTCCTCTGAGCCTGTCCACAACCCAACGATCTCGTATCCTCTTCCTCCTTCTCAGTTCCTGCCCGTCTGTCCTAACCAGCAGTACACTGTGGTATAGAACTTCTTTCTTTCCATTTTATTATTCTTCCCCCGCTCCATCTCCTGTCAGACCTGGCTCATTAAGAGTTTATTTATAGACCTTTCTCGGAGCAGTTGAATTAATAAATTAAACTCCGACACAGATGTCCAGAAAGTCCCAAAATTTCTGCTCAGCTTGTGTCGAGCTAAAGAAATGCTCTGAGCTCTATTTTGACCCAGGTCTTCATACTGTATGTATGTAGCTTTAATGAGCTTCTTAATAAATTACCATCTGTGATGTATTTAAAATGTAGCTACAGTATTTGATACATATATTACATTCTTTGGTACCAGAAAAAGTTATCGCTGTCTGTTTTTATATTGTGACTTTAGCGAGCAGAGTTTGGTACACAGTCAGTGTAGTTTATGTACATCATTGAAGGTTTGGCTTAACAAGGTTCTTGTTAATGGTGTCTAAAATCAAGCGCAGTGTTATTTCACCTTTTGAAACTTCAAAACGTCCTTATTATTCCCCCAATTAACTAGTCAGTTCTTTTTTTTTTTTTTCTTTTTAGTGGAAAGGTGTATCTAAATCCAGCAGGAGCCATTCCCCACATATATAGATCATGCATTCACTTAACCTCATTTTTGACCTGGTTTTAGTGAAAGACATGCCTCTGTGACTAATTATGCCTGTGGAAAGTTCCATTAATATTTAATTCATCACCAGATGTTGGCGCTGAATAATCCATGACTAAAAACACTACTTTTCCAACAACATGTCAGAAATGACCTGAACTGGCGTTCAGTGATGATACAGATAAATAGTTCACTTTAGACTCTGCCAGTCCCTCCAGACGTGGGTCATATTTAAACTCTTACTTGAAGGTTTAAACACATTCAGAAAGTCAATTTAGCAAATGTCTAAGCACTTAGCTTAGAAGTCATCTGACTGCCCCTGGTGGTTGAACTGTATTGATCCATATTCTGAGCAGATTAATGATTAAAGAATTGTGGTTCTGATGATCAGGATCCAATTAATGTGCATCCTGTGGTATCTATTGTTGCATTTCATTTACCTTTTGTCAGAAATGTAACACTAAATTATCTCTCCAGCCTGACGCCCTCAACGCCCAGTTCAGTCACATGACTCTGGCGCAGCAGCAGCAGCCCAGCGACAGTGGGGCTTCAGCTCCAGACGCCCGCCACTATCCCACTGTATACCACCACCACCACCACCCCTCCTCCATGGTACTGCAGGGAGCTCCTCCACAGCAGCAGCAGGTTGCTAGCTACATGGTGGCAGGGCCATCGGGAGGACACCCAGGGGTGCTGCAGGGCCAGCCCGTCCCGCTCCAGACCACGGGCCCCAACCATGCGTATCCCAGCTCCACCCCGGGCCCTTCTGCTTTCCCCGGGTCCACACTGAACCAGCAGCTACTCCAGCAACACGCCTACATCCAGCAGCCTGTCCAGCAGGTAGGGACATCTGAAGTCATGCTGGCAGCCCATAACGGTTCCTTGATGTAGTTGTCAGTCATGAGTCACTCCTGCAGCGGAAACCAGCTTTATGACTAATCCTTCATTTCTCCTGTTGCTGTGAAGTGCATTCAAATGGTGCCACCGATGCGTCATACAGTCCTTGAATCCGTGTTAATGTGTCTCTTACAGATGTCGTCGTGTTACTGCTCTTCAGTCCACCACCCCCACTGCTCCAGCCAGCAGCAGCACTACCGGCCCCCCGTCAACCCGCTGTCCTATAACTGCCCTCAGAGCCAAAACCTGCCCCAGCAACAAGGTATGAACATTGTGACTTTACAGAAGATCCATGTTAACTACTGAGCTTTTACTTCTTTTACTTTCTTACAGAAATTCTGTCAGATTATTTTCACCTTCAACACGCTGGCTTTTTCAGTAGTTGAAGACATTTTTTGTGAAATGCTAAAAATCTTTGAAAAATAAGAGTGTAAATGCCACTAAATGACCTGGATGCACTCTGATAGATTCACACAGCTAGGGTACCCTCAGCCACGTGATGCTCCATTTAAAAACAAGTCTGTTTTCCTCTTAAATTGTCATTAAACTCAGTTCAAAGTTGCGTTTTATGACAAACACACCTGGATACCAAACAACAGCAGGTTAACCTTCATCCCTTCAGATCTCCAAAGCTACAACTTATTCAAACATGGCTTTGAAATGGTTGCATGTTGGATCTAAAGACAAATCAAAGCATGTTTTAATTAATGAGGTCTGCAGCCTCTGATGTGAAGCAGCTGATTTTTTCCTAGAATTTTTAGACCTCACGTTGTCAAGAGCAAAGCCCAGCCTCGCTGCTATATCAAGAGTCGTATTATATCAATAGACTTTAACTTCCCACTTTCAGCTCTTAGATAGTATTCTTTTGTTGTTTGTGCGTTTCTTCACAAGGGAGCTACGGCAGCCGCAGTCCGACGGCTCTCCTGAAGGACAAACATTTCTCCCTTTTCTTTCCTCTCTGTTTGTTTGTTTTCACAAGTTCAGATGTCTCCCCGGGAGTCATCCACTTGATTATTCCATTTCACTTTTTTCCTTCACCACAGGCGTTGAGATTGTTAGCTCCTGCTCGGTCTTCTGTCTCTCTCACACACACACACACACACACACACACACTTGCTTAACTGGATGTAACGTTGGCACAATTTGGACTTGTACAGCCGCGCACACACACACACACTGGTTCACACACGTCTCTGTAAGTGGCTGCGGCACTATTCTGTCATCTGTAGGCTGCAAATGCGGCTTCCCTGCTGGGGACCCAGGGAATAGACAGCGGACAAATGAAGCTGACCTACAAAGGCAAAGGACAGCAATTATTTCTCAGGGAAACAGGAAAAATGACTCGTTTCCCTTCTGTTTTTGCATTAATTAAAAATATATATCAGACCAGCTAAAGGTGAAGGTACTGTGGCGTGCATTGCACACATAATAAATAAATTATCAGTGGGAATGCTCCGATGGCCCAGTCAGTGTCCACAGAGAAACCTGCGAATGTTTCCACTCACTTGCATCAGACAGTCCCCACCACCACAGGGCTTCAGTCATGGTCATTCTGCGACAGCAGCTTGTATTATATGTGAAGGGATTGAAGGATTTGTCTTCCTTCCTCTTTACTGTTAGATGATGCGAGAGTCTATTAAAAGGCTCTTTGGCGTTGGATGACAAACGTAACTTCATTGCTAGAAAGAAAATGCAAAAAACCTTCCTTTAAATTCAAGTAAGATGAAAGAGAAGCACCTTTTCCTTTAAGGAATGATGAAAACCTGAACAATATTTAAGTGGTGCTTGCATATGGAGCTCGGATGATGAGTTGATGTGTCATTTTTCAAGTGGAAATGCCAAACGAGATGTGATGTCAGCTTCTCCAGTGTGAGAATTTGATGCTTTTCTTTGTTATATATGATAATAAACTGAATATCTTCCAGTTTTAGGCTGTTAAAACAAGGAATTTGAATTTGAAGATGCCACTGTGGACTTAGGGAAATTATAATGAGCATTTTTCACTATTTCTTGACATTTATAGACAAAGTGATTATACAAGAAATTAATTCAGCAGAATAGTCGATAAAGAAAATTAGTTGCTTGCAACCCTAATGGTAGGATAAACGAAATGTCACTGCTAGAAAGAAAATAATAAGTTTACTTTCAATCAAAGTGACATTAAAAAAAAAAGTTTTTTTGACTAAACAGTACATGAAACAAGTGGATACAGTCGGGCTAAAACACTGGATATACACCCCGCAGTATCTGTTATAGCTCAAATGAGGCCGATAGTCGGCTGGATTTTTTCTTCAAGACAGAATTCCTTTTAATTTCAATGGTTTTCAGTGTCTCAAGGTTTTTTTTGTTTTGTTTTTTGTTTATACCAAAGCGGCTACGCACTGAGCCTGAGAGGCGGGATGCGGGGCCGGGACGCTGTCTGAGAGGCCTCTATGAATCTCACAGTGAACCGGTCTCTTTTTCAGCCCCTCACTCCTCACCTGCAGGACCTACAGCGATCTCGGAGTGGAGTGTGCATGCAAGGCAAAAACACAGGCCGGTCAGCGACACTTGCATGATACAGGGATAGTCGGACATTATCTGCCTCTGATGGAATTTCTTAAGTAAAGAAGTCACAATCTTCTGCCTGCTGGAATGGAATAAAATTGTTTGATATTACGGGTCATTTCATGCTTGGTTTGTAAGTGAAGGTGGGGAGACGAGGGTGGATAAAAATAGTCCTCCCTCTCTCTGTTCCTCGGGAGCACTTTCATTGTCTGGTCGTACTTTTCTCCCAGGGCGGCAGACTGTAAAGACACCTTCACAAAAGGACGTCCTCTCCTTTGTCACTCGGATTACCGCGTGCGTGTGTCGCGAGGGACAGTATTTTCAAATGTCTCTTTTTGTCACCTTGACATTTAAGTGTCTTGATTCTCTGGCCCCCCCTCCGGCTAGGAATAAGTGCCGCCATTTTAGGCCATTCGGAAAATGGACGGAACCGTGTGACTTTGTGTCGTCTTTTGGGTGTCATTTCTCCTCAGGCGCTCTAGATGGGTTTTTAACAAGTTCTGTAGAAATGTGATCCCATTTTCTGTTTACCTCCTGAACTTAATCACTCGTTGAAGTGGAGGGTTTGTTTGGGTTTTTTCTTCTTTTTTTTTTTTTTGTTCTGGCAGGGAAGCGGCACGATAACTCAGGTTGCAGGTTCAGGCCACCTCAGGCTAAATCAAATTTATTGACTTTCTCATTTATTCCAAGTGCCTTAAACCTGCTTAGCTATAACAGCTCAACTCCCCAAGCTGAGCCTTGACTTCCACAATCCTTCACTCTGCTGTTTTCTCTGTTCTCCTTTTGATTTCCCTTTAAAATCCATAAAATCCTGAATTACTTCCTTGTAAAATCGTGATAATATAGATAGCTATAACAGATAGCTTTTATTAGTGCCTGTTTTTGACTGTGTTGCATAGGAATCATGAATATTAATGTGTTTTATTATTATCACCATGATCCTATCAACAGTCTCTTTTCATTCGGTCACGGAGTTGTGCCTTTTCTCATTTTGCCTCAGTGCACCAAGCCGTGATGCCAAACCCAGCGTCCAGCTACCAGACCATAGTGGGCGTACAGCCAACACCCAACCTCGCTCTCTCTGGCAACCAGCAAAGCAATATGGGCAACCAGATGCAAGGCATGATGGTCCAGTACCCTCCAATGCAGTCTTATCAGGTATTCTGATGATGCCACAGTGTCAGATAGATTAATATTAGCAGTCTGAAAATGAGAGAGAGCATTCATTTTGTTATGAATGAAATTCTCTCTTCTTATGATCTTTTGTTCTCAAAGAAAGCTGCTAGTAGCTCTGTATTCTTCTTTAGAAGAAAAATACAACACTATGGCGCAGTAGATTTTTAAACGTCTAATAGAAGAATGCAAAACTGGAGTGCTCACTCAGCGCAGTCTTTGGCAGTGCAGTCATAGAAAAAGCACATTCCATGATGCCAAGAGCTCTTATACTGTTATTCATAGCAAGTGAAAACCTCAAAAAGACACACTTGGATTTTATTACTTGTTATCCAGCTAATAAAATGAATATCTATTTGCATGTTTTGTGTTTAGCAGACCTTGAAAAAAGGGTTCCTCAGTCATGTATATGTGCTTGTAGTAGCTAATAAAGCCAGTTTTATGTATTTTGTGGCTTTATTTCTATTTTTACCTGCTGTTGTTCCAATCTTTTATTTTTATTTTTCCTGCAGCAGGTTTCTATGCCACAGCAGACGTACCAGCAGCCAGTGTTTGTGTCCTGTCAGCCAGGACAGGGGGCAGTGGCTGTTGCTGGCATGCAGCCCTGCTACAGCCTGCTCCCCCCTAACCAGCACACCACCATGAGGTACAGTCTTAGATTAATACCTCACACATGTCACGCCAAGATAAAGGATAATTATTGGATATATTGTGTCATTTTTTCTCAGATTTGAATACAAATGTTTGTAGTTTACCAGCATCAAATGCAAGAGCTTCTGTATGAAAGCATCTGCATTTATCATGTTTCACTCATTCATTCAGGTTTTTTTCTTAAATTTGTCACCTGCCTGTATATCAGTCAATATATGGGATACTTATTATCAGTACATTTTCCAGTAGAGGAGGGAAGTGCTTGGTGCCAGAACCTCCTCTTTTCCATCCTGTTGTAGGCCTGAAATAGTTCCTAGATGAAAATACGAAATAACTGTTTAAATTGTTTTATAGCTCAAGCCATTATTCAGTTGTGCTATCCAGCAGTTCACATGCACATCAATACTTTGATATATGAGAGTAATTAGTTATTATTGCATGTTTATCTTTGGTATTATTAGGATTTCTTTAATAACCCAGCACTGATCCATTTAATTATTCTCAAGGCCTAAAAGAGCTCTGTGTGAAATATTGAATAGAGTTAATTGTGTTTTCAGGCTCAGCTTTTTTCTCCAAAATGAACTTAAGTCATGTATACACTGATAATAAACATACTTTGATTTATGTTCATGCTTTTCTAATGGCCGTTTCTAATAGCTGAAGCTGCTTTAATCAGGTTTAGATGGAATTATTAGCTCGACTGTAGATGTACTTTGTCCCAGAAACCGATTTGCAGGTAGTCGATGCTGTTTCTCACTCCTGAAGGTGCCTCTTATTTATAGACCTAACGGGCCTGATGAGTGAGTCCCCAAAGCACCTCGGAGCCAAGGTCATCTTTGTTCACTGTGGGGGGAAAAAATGAGGTTATTACCACAACGCTTTTGGTGAACCGGGTGTGCGTATAGCTGATGAATGTCTACTCTGACGCCCTCTCAAAGAGCTTTAGTCATTTTCCTCCATTACTCTGCCGGTGTGGAGTAGTGTGGAGCGTCGTGCTCTCGCTCATTATAATCTGATTGATAGAACTAGTTCACAGAAAGCAAAACATGTAATTAGTTTCTACCTCCATGGACCCAATCAATCTGGATACTGGTGAGTGTAGCACTACTGGGAGCGTCGTGCACGCTGGTGTACATAACAAACACCAGACAAATGAACACAGCCGCGTACGCTGTCGTCACCTGCAGGAGAACAATGCAAAGACACGCTCACGCGCGGAGAGGTCACTCTCTCATTGTCCCAGCTGTAAAATGAGGCTGCGTTAGTAGGGCAGTCAGCGTGGAGATGATTTATGCGGCAGCGTTTCGAACGGCTCAGTCTGCTCCCACGAGGACCGACTGTCCACCTGCAGCCTGCTTTTTCACCAGCTGTACGCCGGTCCCTGCAGGCAAGTTGCTTACAGAGCAGAGCGCAGCTACTTTGCAGATGGACTTAAGTTTTAAATTTCAAATTTAATACCCCAACTGCAGCGCTAAGATCTCAGAGCTCCTGGAGATTTCCGTCTGTGCAGGTTTAGAAGTGATTTTAGAGACCTATTTAGGTTGGAGCTGCTTTTTCTTCAGGCTCTGGAGTGTAAAAAGCACCTTACCTGACAAAATTGGCAACATTTAAATGTTCAAGGTTTCTCCTGAAAAGTCTTTATTTTTTTATCAGTTCATTCATTCATCCATTTTCTCCCCCTTATAAAGGTCCAAGTTGTGTTTAATGATGATTTATGATATTTTGGATTATTTTAGACAGATAATTTTTAGATGAATAATTTGTTCTTTAAAACAGTAAAAACTCGAGCTGATCAATCTTATTCTAACATTTGATTAGCTGGAACCATCAAATAATTCGTGCTGGAACAATGACTTGAACGATTAATCAGTCAATAGTTGCTGGTTAGTTTTCTGTCGATCGACTGATGTTTACAGCTCTAATATTTGTATACTGCTGGAAAGTATTGGAAAAATCCCAGATGTGGGTAAATTCTTGCACTCAGGCCTTATTGCCCCTTCTGGTATTCACTGATATCTTTTTATATTTTGGCCGATACGACCATGAAACAAAAATGTCTAACTTAATGAGCTCTGCAGAAACGGTGTTTTAAAAAAAAGCTTCCTCTGTCCATTCACAGTTCTACAGTGAGTTTCCTGCCTGCTCAGATGATGGAGCAGCTCCAGTTTCCTCAGACCTCATCCCCCTGTGTCTCCCAGCAGCACCCAGGCCAGCAGTACGCAGGTACGCTCCCTCTCTGAAACCGAAACCACAACCGAGTCCGAGGTCTGAATTCAAACACGCAGCGCTCTGCAGCAGCATCACGTGCAGTGCAGGCAGAATATTCACTTTTTAGTCTCTGACACTAGCCGCCCTGGAGACTCCCCATCAGTGCCAGAGCTCCGACATTCTTTATTTTCCTCCATCTCTCAGTGTCAATAACTGCAGAATGTATTCCTCCATAGCCACGACTCGGGCTCCTTAATGAAATAATCTTCCCTGGGTTTACTCTGCCATTGTATGTGCGTCAGACACATGATTAGATTTACACTCCGGATTTTCAAAATGAAAAAGAGTGAGGCGTGGTGATGACGACTCCCCGGAGTTTGGATAAGTGAAAGTGATTTGCACATCCACCTCTTCCTCCGGAGCGGCGTGGAGATTAAACAGCTAGTGGGCCGACCACTGCAAATGTTATGTTGACAACAACTCAGTCAAAGTGTTGTTTTGGTATAGTGAAAAACTATGAAAGTGAGAAATCATTGAAGCCTCTCCGGTGTGAGTTGTACCGAGATATATTATCACATGGTTTGGCATGAGTAAGATCTAATATTATGCTTTAAAATATTCCTTAATTCCCAGCTGTCCTGCTCATGAATGATGATTCTCTGCTTCATTTATACAGATGAATGAAGTGTATCTTAGAGGTATTACAGCAGCATAAACTGCTTTCTGTCCACTACAAGACAGTTGCAATAGATCTAAGCTGTAGATAAATTGGGAGGGAGACGGATGAAACTACCAAAGTGACTCTGGATAATTTCCTATTGGGTTTCTAAAAATAAAAATCACCATAATAACTCATTCTTTCATGTATCGCCTGTTTTGTATTGGCCTTTTGCGAGCTCACACAATCTCTGTCCAGAGGCCCAGGTGGGGCAGTCTCCTTACTAATGACCTTTATTATTCATGTCTGATTATTATGGGAGAGCAATGGAGGGAGCCATCATTTCCAGCCCGTCAGTAATGAGGTCAGATGAAGGTCTCGCGGCGGCCTTACCTACAGCGTCACCAGTAAACATTTTTAATTGGCTAGGTCGGGGCCAGAAATAATCTGCAGATTAAGTCCAAATATCCATTGTCCTTGCTACTGTTGTTGGGTAATAATTCATAAATCAACAGTGGCGTCGGCTGTGCAAAGTTTGCAATATGATTTTCAGCTTTATGTAAACAGAAATTAATTAGATGGAAATATATTGTTGTGTTTTTTTATTTTAGTTTTTCAATCTTTTGTGTGTGTGTGTGTGTTTTTGTTTTTTTTAAGTCACATCAGTCACGTTCATGCGTCACAAACTAATAAGATAATTGGATCTCCCGGATCATCACAGAGGATTTAGCAGGAAAAGGGAATGGAGTCTGTTATTGCCACTACGGTTGTGCCCTTATAATCAAGGCACTTAAAACCTAATTGCTCAGCAGCTAACGGTGTGAGAGCTGTTTTCACTGATGAGGTGTGTCGCTGAACAAAAGTGCTGAAAAGGAGCTTTTTGGGTGGCGAAAACACATTTAGTCTGTCAGTTTACTCTGGTGCATAAATGATGAGTTTATGTAATGAATTCAATAGAAAATAAGTAGCATTAAGCGTTTCACCGCGTCTGCCTGACCTGATTCGCCCCTTGTCAGTGCTGTATTTCATTTCCAGCTTGTGTTTGTTCTTTTTCTAAAATGTGTGTGTGTGTGTGGGGTGTGTGTGTGCAGGGTTGTTACCCTCAGGCCCCAGCAGTGGCATGGTATGCTGCAATGACGGGGCCCACCCTGCCAGCAGCCCCCGAGCCCCTCCCCCTGCCAGCGAAGACCAGCCCAACCACAAACACCCGGGCGCCGAGCACCAGCGCGGCCGCCGGCCTGCCGAGCTCCTCCCGCCTCCAGACAACACCCAGGTACAAACGCTGCCCGACTGCATCGATTAGGCAAAGCTGATCGCTCAAAACAATACCACTTTAAAGACGATGGTTAAAATAAAATAGATTTTTGTGTGTGAAAAGATTGTACGTATAACCTCTTAAAAACCTTACTGAGGTTGTCTTCTGGTTTTGACATGATGTAATTAGCTCAGTGGCCTAGAGGTTTTTGACTTGACAACAATTTCCAGATGATTTTGAATTTAATTAAAAATTTGCTCCGGTAATGTTTGCCACATAAGACGATGCAGTATGTGTCAGAAAGTTAAAACGGTCACAAGAAAGCAATTTGAAAGCCAATTTACTTTGGTTGTCTGAGTCTGACAGTGACGCGAGAATTGCCCCCTGGAGCCAAACCCGGCCTCCCCGGCTCTTCAGGCAGGTTAAATGTCGTAGTAAATAGGCTCTGCAAATGAAGTCGACGCTGGCGTAGCCTGAAAATGAGGAGAAAATAGTCCTTAGCATTAGGGTGTAATGGTACATTAGGGGGACTAATGTGGATGGAATGGTACATTAAAGCAACAACTTGAACAACAGAATGACTTTCTGAAAGAGAGAGAAATAGCCGTGGTTGCTTTTTTTTTTTTGAATGAAAGTGTCTGTGTTCCTCCCCGTAATCTCTCGTCGCACTGCCGGTGTGTTGTGTGTAGAGCAGCTTGCCCTCGTCTCCGGCACTCACTCCCTTGCCAGGCCAGCCGCCCAGCGTCAAGGGCCTCCCATCAGGCATCTCGTCCATCCCTGTCATGGCCCACCACCCGCACCACCACCACCCACAGCTCCCTACAGCCTTCTGCCACAGTGGACAAGGTCAGAGACACCAGAGTGTTTATTCTCACTCACAGACAGTATCAAACACCGAGCTGTGCCTCCATCCAGAGCGTGCAGTGCTACATTTTAGAGAAACTTTTTTTTTTTTTTGGCCAGTTGTTAACTGTATTTTGGAGAGAAGTTAATCAATCCGGAAAAAAAGAGGAAGAGTAGGTCATTTCTGATTGGCTGTTTTGTGTGATTGCTACTAGGATTATCTGTTACTATGGAGAACAGAAAGCAGGCACTCGACATACGTAGTTAATACAGCTTTGGTTACATATTTAACCATATTATGAACCTTAATAAAATCACATTTGTTATTAATTATTTGTTATAAGTTATTCTGTTCATATTAGCTTGCAGCCTAACCTCTTGGTGGGTAGATAGCAACTAGTAGTAGCTAGAGTTGTAGTTCCTTTAAAGAAAATTAACAGTCTCTGAACCTCTAAATGTTTTAACTCAGTAGTACAAATGCCCAATTAAAATATATATATAAAACATTATCAAAAACAACAACAAATGTCCTCATAGTACGCTTTTAAACTGAGATTTAATAGTGTCCAATAAATGTTATATGTTAGATTTTACTAACAGTTCAAGTTAATGTTTTTTTAGTGGAACTACCGTAATGATTGTAAAGCTTTGTGTAGGTGGGATTATCGAATTGACCAGCTAGCTTAGTTAGCTACTGATTATTATATGCAGATGATACCTCCCAACAGGGTTAGTTGGCAAGCTAATAAAAGAACAGACAATTTCATGTTCATAAAACTAAATATGTAAGTGTATAAACTAGCTGAGTGTGTCCCTCTCCCACAGCTTCATAACTTCCCCAGTAACCAATATTCTGCTACTAGCAATCAGATTAGATTGAATTCTTTTTTTGTTATTTATGATTTCTATACAAAATATAATTCTCTAAATGACTCATTGTTCTCTCAGGAGTGAGGCACAGATATAACTCACAGTTATAGTTTAGTTTGTTGTTTCTACTGAACTCTTTCTTCTGCTAACTTTGTGTTCTGGCTGTGCCGTCCAGGTGAAGCACACTACTCTCTACTGGGCCAGCCTCTGCAGTACAAACCCTCCATCAGACATCCGCTGATTCACACTGCCCACATGGTGGCCAAACACCAGGTCGGACACTCAGACACATCGCCTGTTACACTTGATCTGAAATAATGTTTTTTAATGTCTAATAAAAGTTATTTTCTGAGCTGTTGTGTCGTGCTCTTGAACTTTGAGGTGGGTTTTTCTAAAGAACCATCAAATGATGGAGTTTACCTGCTGCTCTGATGAATCTTTGATGCCTAAAAAAACCAGTAAACATGATGGTTGTCAGTCTGTTTGAACATATCAGGGTATTTTTTTAGGATTTATGACATTACATTACAGATCAGCAAACAGCCCTCCCAGCCTTCCACAAATAATCCAACTGTCGTCCTCTGTCTCCTCAGGGTCCACTGGGGGTTTGGCGTAGCGGTCATGGGAGGAAGGCCAGCAGAAAACCTCTGTCTTCAGATCTCAGTGTAGGTGAAGCAGGTAATAGGAAGTCCAGAGGGAGGCTTGAGTTTAGTGAACCTCGAGTTAACAGCAGTCATGGCCGAAATTTGACCTTCCCTCTACAGAGCGAGGCACCAAATATAAACCCAGTGCATTATGAAGGGATTTCTTTGGAGTTTCCTATAGGAATTTGGCCTTCAGCTTCTCAAAAGATGCAGCGCAGAGTGAAACATCAGACGTTAGATGTCAATCAGAAAAAAGGAAGCTCGTGTTCAGATTCATCACATGATAAAGCCAGCTGCTGTGTGGCCTATTTAGCAGATTAACCGAAATAACGTCAGGTTTTTATTGTGTCAAAATATGCTTGCTGCGCTCCGTAGCGGTGGAGAAAGCGTGTGTTTGTGAATGTAAGCAGAATAAATTACAGACGGGGCAGAATTTACACCTGGCAGTGGAACCTGCAGCCCCGGCGGTATTGTGCCGAAAGAAATGTGCTGATTATTTCAAATATGGCGACGTATTTTTTTTGCACTTGCTGAGATATTTTTTGCATTATTCAGGTGCTCTTGTCAACAATCCCACTTGTACAATCAACAAACAGGGAGCTTGTGTGCCTTAATGGAAAGTTCAACATTATGTCGCTGCCTCGAAAATGTCACGCTTTCTGGCAATAAGAAAAGCAGACTCATTTATAGACTGACAATCATGCATTTTTGATAATATAACCTCTGAAGAATCAGTAAAAACACCAACTTGAGTCATATTTTTATACGATTTTGCTTGAGCACGCTGCCACAAGTTTGACCGTCCTTCCTCAAAGCGTTAAAGCTGACAGCAGCAGTTTATTGAAGCCTCCCGATGGTGCAGGTCTGATTTTTCTCTTCACCCATGACAGTTGTTTTATTTACTGGCTCCGCTGCTCACAGTGCTGTCTGTGTGTGTCTGCAGTGAGCAGTCAGATCCTGGAAGTGACAGATCCTCCGGAGGGGATCAGCTGTACAGACTCCCACCACCTCCTGGCAGAGCTCTGCAAAGGGGGCGAATTGATCCGGCGGCTGTCGGACCATCAGCCCCGGCTGTGCAACACAACCAGAGACGCTCCCAGCGGAGACCTGGCCTCATCATACTCCATCTTTGCCATGCTACCCTCCAGATTTGCTGCACCGAGCGCCGCGCTCCACCACGGCGGCCCCCAGGCCACCTTTAAACGACGAACTAGTACCAGACACAAAGGGGAGCTGTGTGACTCGGACAAGGCCGGCTCATAGCTGCTAAGATCTCGGTGCACCTAAGGAGCGCCACGTTGAACGCACATCCAACCACCTGCCTCTGCTGCCTCAGTCTGGACTGTCTCGGTTTTAGTCCCAGACTCTGTCCAAATCAAAAAACCGTATCAAATGTTTGAAGAATGAATGTTCACTTTTATTTAGTTTTAGTTAGTTTTATCATTTTTTTTCTGGCCAACAGGTCTGTGCAGGGTGGAAACCGAGCAGCACCTCCAAGTTTGGTTTTGTTTGTGAGATGCGTCCGTGGCTGCTGAGCTCAAGCCCCCCACACCACCACCACCACCACCTCTCTATCTTTCTGTCTTTTTCTTTCCCTCTGTGTCTGGCTCTCTCCCAGCTGAACTCTCTTTGCTTCTTTTGTTTCTTTGTTGCTTCGAATTTTTTAACCTACCTAGGGAACCCACCCCATTTTTTTTTCTTTGCCCTGCTTGCTCTTACTTTTCAGTGATACCCAGAAGACTGTGAGTTATCCTCATGTGACTCTGCTGTTTTGTGTTTGTGTTTGCGTGTGTGCATCTGCTGAGCTCTGCGGGTAAACACGAAGCATCGCCATACCTATCTACATCTGTGTAATTACAGCCACATCAGCCTGTTTTTGTCCTTTCCTAGGCAAACACTTGACACTACCTTGAAAGAGTGTTTTTTTTAGTCTTGCTTCTTCCTCCTGTCTTTTTCTCCCCCGCTTTCTCACACACACCACACACATGCATGCATATACTATTCACCACCACTACTGGCTCAGCGATATCTCATTATCCTGTTTATTCATACAAACAAATGCCTACTATTTCACGCGCACACATATACAGGTGTAGCATTGAAGGGGAGAGGCAAGAGCAGAGTGAAAGAAACAAATGTTGAAGTGTGTGTTGGTGGGGTTGTGCAGGGCAGGTGGGGAGGTTTGAATGTTAACTGCCTTATCACTCCAATTTCACACTCTCGCCTCCAGTCACACACACACACACACACACAGGACGCACACGCACAAGAAACACCCTGTTGCCTCCAGTCTCGTATGTGAAGACTGATTAACAGGGAAACAGGGGGGTCACACACACTCGCGCACACACTAATCCCAGCCAGAGGGGAGGTTTTGTGTGTACGAGTGCGTTAATGAGTGTGTGCGGCTGCTTCTGTAATGGGGCCACCTGTCTACTCATTAGCCTCGTTACCCAGCCTTTTAATTGCCCCCAAACTCTGCATCATGTCTCCTCCTCCTCCTCCTTCTTTTTCTTCTCTCCTTCCTCCTCCTTCCTCGCTCCTTCTCTCTTGGTGATTTGATGTTAAGCGAACTTTTGGGACACATCAATAATCTGACATCATGACGCAAGGATTATGTCATGCTGTGCAGGTGTGTGGGTGTGTGTGTGTGGTGGGATTGGGTGGGGTAATGCGAGTGCAGCATGTCCATATGTCAGCGTATTAGCAAAGTGATTGCTTTGACCTCCGTATCAGGAGGCATATGAATATGATGCAGGGTGGAGGGGAATTTGTACACGCACACACACACACAC